AGGCAGCGAGGGGGAGGTGCGGGCCATGGGTGGGCGCACGTGGAGTGTGGACAGGTGGAGGAGGGGTTGATGGGTCCCAGCTCCTTCCCAGTCTTCTGCTAATTAACTCCTTAATTGTCCCTGCATTTGCTGAGCTGGCAAATGAAGTGGATGCAAACAGATTGGGGTGTGTGTGATTTCACGCACGGGGGAGCGGGAAGTGCTGCCTGGGAGTCCCAGGGGCCTTGTCCCCCCTTTGCCCTCCCCTCATCCCCTCTGAGAGGCTGGAGGGTGCTGCTGCACCTAGAGCAGATGGGGCCATCTGCATGGGAAGCGTCCACGGGGAATCCGCTCCCCTCTGCCCTGCAGGGCCGATCATCATGCTTGCCGCTGTTGATGGAGCACCTACTATTTGCCAGGCATGCGGTATTTTATCAGTCTGGGCATTGGCTGGATTTTTCTGTTTTGTGGAAAACAGTGAAACTAGGACCACACAGCTCCTTGCCTAGGACTGGTTTGACAGCGTTGGGACTTGCACCCAGGTCAGCATGATGTCAAAGCCCTGGATGAATCAGGGCCGGATGCCTCTTTCCAGTGGAGGAAAAACATTGCTGGCCCATATTCCCTCTCAGTCACCGAGGGGAAAAGGATGTGGGGTCTGGTCTAGGAACTGCCAGACAGTGAGGACAGAAGTGTAGAAAGGAAGCTGAGAGGACACTCAAGGACCAGAGTCATCCGGCTCTGGACAAGAGGTGGGTGGGCCCAGAGATGCCGGAAGCAGAGTGAAAGAATAATCATGGCCCCAGAGCCTTCAGGTCTCATCTTACCTACAACCTGGCGAAGCCAACTCCTCCGTCTCTCTTCCATGCCCCTCAAAGGCCTGTCAGGATGACTGCGCCTCTGCTACTGTCTGCTGGCAGCCTGGGCGCACTCTTTTGTTGCACTCCGGACCTTCACACTTGCCACTTGTCAACGTGTTTATCTCTCCTTTGATACTGAGAAATTTGGGGGGGGGCAGGGACTACTGATTCCGCACCTTGTCCACAGGGCCCATCTTGGGTTTGTACACAGGAAAAAACTGAGTGGAGATTTGCTGCAATGTACATGGTGGAGAAGGGATGATGAGGGGCCCATCTCATCTCAAACAAAGAAGAAATGACATCATGAGGAATTTGGGTGGATATAAGAAAGAACTTCCTAAGGCTGGGGCCTGTAATACCATGAAGTCTTGATTCAGACACAGACTCTGAAGAGCATGCCTTTTCAAGATTGACTGCATATTAGAAGTTTTTTAAAAATTGGAGGTTTTGGGACCCATGCTCAGAGATTCTGCTCTAAAGTGGGAATTACACCAACATTTTTAAAATCTCCCCCAGGTGACCCAGCTGTGCAGTGTGGGTTCAGGACCACTATCTCAGAGTCTGTCCTGATACAGTGGCACTGGTGGTTTTTACCACTAGATCCAAATCCTTTTTTTTCAGTCTTTTTTTTTTTTTTTAATCTTTTTTGAGACAGGGTCTCACTATGCGGTTCAGGCTGGCCTTGAACTCTCTTTGTTGCCCAGGCTGGCCTCAAACTTGCAACGATCCTCCTGCCTCAGTCTCCCGAGTGCTGGGATTACAGGTGTGTGCTACCACACCCAGCTTTTAGATCCAAATCCTAATGCTGACAATAATCATTACTTGGTTATTGAGGCTGTACTAAATACAAGCTAATGTGCTAAGGTTTTCCATGCATTAGCTTGTGTAATGCTTGAAAAACCCTGTGAAATAAACGTTATCTTCATTTTATTGACGAGGAAACTGAGGCTCAGAAAAGTCAAGGGACTTGAATGGCAGGACCAGTTCTGGAAGCTGAGATCGCCCAATTCATGCCTTTTTATCTTTCCGCAGACTCCTCCTGAGGCTGCTCGTTGGCCTCAATCAGTCCTTGCCTGCCTCCACCTCACCTCATCACCTTCCCTCCACCCCCGCTGCTCTTGCAGTAACATCCCAAGTGATTGAAGCAATTTGCAGCCATTAGAAGAGACTCCATGTGTCACTCAACCTGTGAGAGTGGGAAGGTGGGAGATGCTCCAAGATAGTTCCCCCCTCCCCCCGAGGACATGTGAGATTCAGGAATCAGACTGGAACCAATGCTTCTTCAGGGGCCTGTTTGGAACCCTCCTGCCCAGGCCAATTGCCACTCCCAACTGCCCCTTTGCGGGGCGTCTAAGTAACTGGGAGAGTGCTGCCACTCAGTGGCTGCCCAGGGACATAGCAGCCCTCCAGCACTGTCTGGTGGTGCTGGACAGCTCCCCAAACCAAGACCAGAACGAAAGATCCTTTCTTTTGGCTGATCCACCAGGACCCTAGTAAATAGATCCTGACTTCCCTCACCCAGAATCTTAAACCCACACACTGGGGATCTCCAGATTTTTTCACTGGTTTCCCATGTTCCTCTTACCCCCCAACCAGTCATGACTTCTTACCCAGCTTCTTCCACTGGGCTGTCCCCTCCTCCTGACAGATTCTTTCCTCCAATTTAAAACTCAGCACCAGGCTCGGGATGTAGCTCAGTGGCACAAGCGCCTGCCTGGCCAGTGCAAGGTCCTGAGTTCAATTTCCGATACAAAAAAAAACCCCTCAGCACTACCTCCTGGAGACCCACCTCCCACCTTGCTTTCCCAGAGCTGCACCAGCTTAAGTGGAGCAGAGGAGTCTCTGGAAATCCAATCTGATCCCCGCACCCCATCCTCCTCATCTGACACCATCAGACCTCAGCAACCTCAGTGCCAAGAGCCCCTAATGAGCACCAGCAAATTAACAACTTTCCCTTGATTGCTCCTTCTCTGTTAATTGGCTAGGGAGTGGCCCCAAGGCCTCTCTGAAAGGAGGAGGGCAGGCCAGAGGAGGGCCACAGGAGCAGGCAGAGGCCTGGGTTCCCTCCTGGACCTCTCGCCTTTCAGCTGCTCCTCGTCCTGCTCCCCCATTTCCTTTCCCCTTTCCTTACTTTTGTCCAAATTTCCTTGACCTCTGCCTATTTCTCCTTCCTCCTTCCTGCTCCTCATTTAGAGACTTGGCCGTGAGGGGTTGCAGACGTGCCCCCAAGTCAAGCCCAGCGCTGTAGGGACGGTGTGTGGGTGTGTTTATTGTGTTCTTATCCGAGTGTGTGTCTGTGTCACACGTAGGCAGGGAGCAGGGCTGAGGGCAGGTGGGCGCTGCCTGGCAGGGCAGGCCTCTGGGCTGTGTGGGCATCTGTGTGGTGTGTGTGTGTGTGTGTGTGTCTGGCATGGTGTGACTCTGTATGTGTCTGTCTCCACACGGGCAAGTGCTTAAATCAGTGAAGTGTGACTCGGAGTGTGTGTGTGTACACGTGTGCGTGTGCCACTAGAGGAAGCAGCAGCAAGCGGCAGGAGAATCGATCCGAAGGAGACAGCGCTGGGAGGGGGACGCTGGGGGCAGACACCCTCCTTCCTGCGCGCACAGCCGCGCTC